TTATTTGCAAAATCATGGATTGATCCGAAGAGCCATTCATCCTTCAAAGGAAGGACACCTGCCTTGTTTATCTTCTCAGCAAACAAATTTATTTCCAATTTATGGGTGAAAAAAAGTAAGTGCAACCCAGATCCTTTGGTTACTTCTGTAGAGGTGTCCCTTACGTACGTGTGTGTGTGTGTGTGTCTGTCTGTCTCTCTCTCTCTCTCTCTCTCTCTCTCTCTCTCTGTGTGTGTGTGTGTGTGTGTGTTTAAAGGGAATCAGAAATGGGACTTCTGAAACTCATTCTCTGATTATGGAGACGGGGCCTGCTCATATGTGGGAAGGAAGACATAAACATTCAAATCCCATCTCTTGTTTTAATAGGAGTTCCATTTGAAGAATCGTTACTTAAACACACACACACACACACACACACACACACACACACGTACGTAAGGGACACCTCTACAGAAGTAACCAAAGGATCTGGGTTGCACTTACTTTTTTTCACCCATAAATTGGAAATAAATTTGTTTGCTGAGAAGATAAACAAGGCAGGTGTCCTTCCTTTGAAGGATGAATGGCTCTTCGGATCAATCCATGATTTTGCAAATAACGTTCAGAAATATTGTTTGGTGGAAATAAAGGGAATGCTTTGACATCAGACCTAAGCAGGGATATCTGGAGGCTTATTATCTTGTTACTTCAAATGAATTCTCTCCCCCCCACCCCCAAATAAAGCATGGCCCTGCTACGTTTGAGAAAAACAAGCTCCTTCAAGTTAGATCCGTGACTCTTTCTTTGTTATCTTCCCATCCTAGGTAACAGACAGATTAGCAGTAAACCACTAAGCTATCCTTCCTTTAAACAAGCTAAATTCAGGCCAATAGGTTTATTTAAAAAGCTGGGATATTGTTCTTCAGGCTCTTGGAAGGAGGGAGGAAAATAGGGGAAACTGTAGACCTTCACTGAAATATGGATTATTTTAAGGAGGTGATGGGCTATTCTCAAGCTCAGGACTCACTTCCTTAAAAAAAAAACACCATTTTAATCCCACCCACTCATTCAAGATTATCTATGTAAATCGCTTCCAAAGAAATAACTGATTCTGTGAGCATCCCATGTCGCTATTGAAGGGTAGCGGACAAATGAAGACGTTTCTAAAGAAGAAAGGAGAAGCAAGGTATGAATTTGGGTGGAGGCAAAACTCTGAGTAATGCCACCATGGCAAAGAATGCCATCGAAGGCAGGATCTCCCAAGAAAGACAATATCCCCCCATAAGGGGGCAGTGATTGGCGGGACCTTTTCTAACAGAAGCAACCTTGAACAATAATTGGTGGCTCACAGCTCCCCTCTACATACAGACCCATGGATTACAATAGATCCCCCCCCCCCAATACCTTTTACGGGGAGCCCAAAGGAAAGCTCCCCAACTTCTCTGGGATGGGAATATAGTATTTCGTTCTGAGCATACAGTCGAAACCTCAAGTTCATCGGAAAGCTAGTCAATCCCATTTATTAAGAAGCGGGGCGAGAGTTGCGCTGAAAGCAACGGCACAAACGCAGGTTTGACTTTTTCAGCACTGAAGTGAGTGGACAGCGCCGGACTCGCCGCCAGACGACCCAACTCCATCAATAATAACTGAAATCGTTACGGAGCGCTTTGCCAATAACGCTTCCTATTCTCTTTACAACACTGAGCAGAGTCGCCCTTGCCGGGCCAAAAGCAAAGCGAACAAAGATTTAATATTTAACACCACAATCACGACACGGAAGTTATCCGGCATCCAGAGGCGTTCTCAAAGGCAAGGCAAGTCGCCGGGTTTGGCTCGGCGGCCGCATTTGCGCCGAAAAGTAATAGTAAGTAAATGTACCGACAACTGACCCACGTCGCCTCCGCCGCATTTTCACCAGGACTCAACTGGCGCTGCCCGCTATCCTGCGCTCCAGACCCGCGCGCGGGGCACAGCGCCGCCGGGTTGCCCCCTTACCCATCGCTCCTCTGCAAGCGTGCCAGGAGGGGCCCTGGCTTGGGAAGCCCGGGTCGACATCAGTTGCCTTGGCCTTTGTCCTCTCTGCGGACTCCTGGGCTGCTTCGACGTGAGCTCGGCTATGCAACTCAGGGGGCGGGGAGGAGGAGGAGGGGGTGGAGAAGGACGAGGGGAGGAGAAGAGGAGGCAGAGCGCAGGAAGGAGGAGGAGGAGGAGGAGGAGGA